CAGCAGTTTCAAGGACTTCAGTGTAATCATGCAACCTAATAGGGATTTTTCCATGTAAACCAGTATAATGCAACTTAATAGGGATTTTTCCATGTAAACCAGTATAATGCAACTTAATAGGGTTTTTTCATGTAAACCAGTATAATGCAACTTAATAGGGTTTTTTTTCATGTAAACCAGTATAATGCAACTTAATGGGATTTTTCCATGTAAACCAGTATAATGCAACTTAATAGGGGTTTTTACATGTAAACCAGTATAATGCAACTTAATAGGGTTTTTTCCATGTAAACCAGTATAATGCAACTTAATAGGGTTTTTTCCATGTAAACCAGTACAATGCAACTTAATAGGGATTTTTCCATGTAAACCAGTATAATGCAACTTAATGGGGATTTTTCCATGTAAACCAGTATAATGCAACTTAATGGGGATTTTTCCATGTAAACCAGTATTATGCAACTTAATAGGGATTTTTCCATGTAAACCAGTATAATGCAACTTAATAGGGATTTTTCCATGTAAACCAGTATAATGCAACTTAATGGGGATTTTTCCATGTAAACCAGTATTATGCAACTTAATAGGGATTTTTCCATGTAAACCAGTATAATGCAACTTAATAGGGTTTTTTTCATGTAAACCAGTATAATGCAACTTAATAGGGTTTTTACATGTAAACCAGTATAATGGAACTTAATAGGGGTTTTTACATGTAAACCAGTATAATGGAACTTAATAGGGGTTTTTACATGTAAACCAGTATAATGCAACTTAATAAGGATTTTTACATGTAAACCAGTATAATGTAACCTAATAGGGTTTTTACATGTAAACCAGTATAAAGCAACTTAATAGGGATTTTTTACCATGTAATAACCAGTAAACCATAATGCAACCTAATAGGGATTTTTCCATGTAAACCAGTATAATGCAACTTAATAGGGATTTTTCCATGTAAACCAGTATAATGCAACTTAATAGGGATTTTTCCATGTAAACCAGTATAATGCAACTTAATAGGGATTTTTCCATGTAAACCAGTATAATGCAACTTAATAGGGATTTTTCCATGTAAACCAGTATAATGCAAACTTAATAGGGATTTTTCCATGTAAACCAGTATAATGCAACTTAATAGGGGTTTTTACATGTAAACCATATAACTCAAATCAGAGGCTTTATTCATATTATTGTCCTTTGTATCATGACTTGTGCAGTCAATTGTTTAAGAATGTGTCTTTGTGTTTTAATGATGAAGACAGACAATGCTTCACTATTCAAATGTAATGTTGGCTCAGTTTGTGTAAAATGGATCTTCACAAAAGAAGACTTCCTGTTGTCTTGTAAATGCGTCTGCTGTGTGCTGATTGTGTGTGTGTGTGTGTGTTTTAAGTCCACATCGCCCGGGACCTTTAAATGGTTATACATCACTTTAAATAAGGCATATAATAAAACTACAAAACAACTTTGTGTTGCATATAACATGTCATGTCCATTGTGTCTCTGCTGTTCTTAAAATATCCCTCGGGGAGGAATATTTTTGTGATGGGAAAAAAAATCCAACTTTTGTCATGAATGTTCTTGATCTGACATTGTTTATAAGGAGACGTCGCCTCAGGGAAGTTTTTTAAGGCAGGGAGAAAACAACATCAGCTGTTTTGACACATAAAAACAAGCACTTTAAAACAGACATAAAAGTTATGGGAACGCCAAATGAGGATTCTGTTGCTTTGTAGTAGCAGTTCCAAGCTGCCGCTTTTCTATTCCCAATCCTTAAGAACATGTCTCAGAAGGAAGCTATTTTAACACATAAACATTGGATTGTGAGGATTTAATATAATCTTCTTATGTATTACAGATCCCATTTCTATATCTGTTTTATTATGACTATTTCCTGGCATTCTGGTCAGTGATAATCTAACACGTATAGCCTTTAGTCACATTTTGTTTCCATACGTCACTCTGATTTGTGACTAGCATATTTTTAAAGACATAGAAAAACAACATTGCTGAATCTGTTCAATGAACATAAATGGGTCTTCAAATACACGCACTGAAATGTGAATGATATGATGCTATATCTACACCTTATGCAGAACATTCACAACATAATATGTTTCTTTAGAACCTCTATATTTCCATAACACTGAAAACCATTAAAAAACAAAAATTACATTGTGATGATAAAAATATATTTGTCCGGTACTAAATCAAAGTACAGTCTGAAACCATAATGATGTATTTCATCATTTTGTCAAATCCAACAGACGCACCAAATTGGAGCCATTTATCAAGGAAACATTCTGAAATTGAGAAGCCAACTGACAGCCAGTGCTTATGACAATAAACATATTTTCATAATTATGAGTTGTGTTTGTGTCCTTCTAATAAGACAAAGAGGGTTAATGGTCTTGTACTGCTTAATCATCAAATTAATGAAATGTCTGTTACCTGCGGTTATTGTTATGTGACAAATAGATCTGGTAACAGCTGGTTGGAGACACGTCACACCAACATGTGCCACCTCTGAAGAAGTCTACAGCCCAAACAAGGCAGGTAATGAAGCAGTACTAACTCAGATATATATTTGAATACTTTGATTAGAGGCTATGTTGCTTTAACAAGCAGTGGACGGAGACCCAGCTCCAGAAACAGGTACAAAACACTGGCACTGAGGTTTGATGTCACTAAATGTTAACTTAAACAAGACATGCATTATGAAACTAAACAAAAATGTAGGTCCTCCATTTTTAATACCGGGATCGGGACAGAATCATTTCAGCGGATCTGAAATAAATATCCTTTATGACATCCATTATCTCTGCGGCTCCAAAGCCTGTGTCATGTTTCTGTCATGTCAGTCTGCACAGGTACAAAGCAAATCCACCGCATTATTCACAACATATTATTACCTCGCAATATCAACTGTCAATCACATGTGAGCAAGAGCACTTAATGCACATGCTAACCTTTCTGCATGTTTACTCCCCAGGCAAGCGTTACCACAATTCATTACGTTTAGGTAAACATTTCCTGGGCATTATTGTTGACAAGGAAAATAATTTGATCTTCAAGCCACAAAAATGCATGTCCTGACTCCTATTATTAGCAATTGCGTTGTAAAATCCAAAAAGAGGCCGTTTCTATTTAATAGCAATGCACCTGCAAAAAGCCAAAGGGCCCTATTTTGAAACAGTCAAATTAATTTAAGGTTAGGCTGCAGGAATGTCAGAGAAAATTGCCGGTTACTGTTGTAAACATCACAGACGCCTCTGCAGCACGCCCCACGGTCACTGAAAACATAGATAATAATGTTCAGAGCGTGGCCACAGAGCACACACATAATACTTTTATACGGCTAATGAAATAGCACCGTGTAAAAAGAGAATATTCAGTAAATTTGGTGCCATAGGGGAGTCCACGTCAAGGGAAAGCTAAAGAACGCGTGTCACAATAGTTCTTTCTGGATATGTTAATGCACGTTAATGTTTATAGTGCGTTGTGTGTAACTGTTGATGATAGTTTTTTGTTTCGTCACAAGGCGGTGCTAGTGTGCATTTTATTAGCGCCAGAGTTTTTTTTTTATTTGTGTACATTTTTATATTTGCGTTCTGACTATTAGATCAGTATTGGTTAAGTTTGAAGAAAAGATTATAACTCATGTAGATGATTATTTCAAATGTATGGTTTTATGCCTTTGGGATCGCTACTTCTGGTTTGCCGAGTTTTTAGTGGACTGGGTCAGGTTGACGAGGACGGACCCGACAAAGCAGAGTGAAGTAGTAAAAAGTTACTATAAGTTACGGTCCACGGGGTTGTTCGCCAGCACGCCAGCAAGTGGTGTGTATGATTGTGTGTTAATTCATAATTTGTTTATTATTTATGTTAGATCTAAGTTGTACCATTTTTTGTGTTTTGCTAGTTCTACCGCAGGGATCTCCAACCTTTTTCAATCGGAGAGCTACTTTTATGCACCAAGGCAGAGAGCTTCCTTTTGCAGTCGTAATAAAAAAATCTATATATGGCAAAACATAGAGAAAACAGAAATACACCATAATACTGTAAAACCTATATTTACACTTATGATAGACATGTAATACCTGAACATTTATTCATTAAAGATCATTTGTTAAATTCTAAATCCTTCGGGGAGCTACCTGAAAGCGGCTGGCGAGCTACTGGTAGCTCCCGAGCCACAGGTTGGAGAGACCCTTGTTTTACGGTGTGAACTGTATATAAGAAAGTGCAGTAAACATTTGTAAAAAGAATTCTCACGCCTCTCTGTGCGTTCGTGAACAAGTCGGCATATGGTGTCTTGTCTATTTTTTGTTCTGGACTATGAGTCTGTAATAAAAATATCTATCTATCACGGGATAATGCTCTTAGACGAGAGTTGCAGACCAAGACATCATGACACCATGACATCACTATAAAGAAATACAAGTAATAACACTAATAATAAATCATTTTTATTTGTTTTGTTGTTTTGGTTTCCTGAGCTTGACATTAATTTTGTTGATTTAAAATTTTTGTTTCCCCAGAACCATGTGCCCCAGCTCTTAATTATCGGTAAACATGTTTTGGTGGCTATTTTGGGGAATGAAAAACCTAAAGTGTAGTTTCTTGTTGACCTTGTGTCTAGGGCAGGGGTCGGCAACTCAAAAAGTTCAAAGAGCCATATTTGAGCAAAAATAAAAAAAACAAATCTGTCTGGAGCCGCATAAACTTTACTGCCTTTTTTAAGGTTTATATGAAAGCAACACAGGCTGTAAGCTGTATTAGCCTACTATCAAAATGAGTAAGTATAGGCTACAAATACATAATATGCATTCATGATTATTATATATATATACATTTTCACTGTAGTGCAAGAGAGTGACGCACCATGTGACTACTCTGCTATACCATATATGCTTTAAGTTTAACTTTCCTTTTGTTGCGTTCATGCAATTGTAGAAATACAGTAAATACATCTGTTTTTGGCTCAGTTCTCATACCTGCATTACAGCACTTTCTGTTCATATCGATCACGTCACACGTCGTCACAGGCTGGAGTTTGCTGGAGCTGAATGTCCCGAACGGTGTTTCGCACTTTTTTGTTCCTCGTGTTGCAACAAAATTCAGGCGTAGAAGTTTGGAGATGAATCCTCCAGAATAACTGCGATCGCACTGTTTCTCTCCAAACTGGGGTCAGCAGCCGATTTTCCACATGACTCTTTTTGTTCTTCAATATATTCTCATTACAAAGCAAACATGAAGCAGTCCTTCCTCATTGACTCAATGAGAGCCAAATGTTACAGTCCATTTGTCCTTGAGTTCCTGGTTCTTATCAAGTATTTCCCTTTTTAGCTTTGGGATTTATGCGGACTCATGTGGCACATGCTGGTTTGTTTACAACAGCGGCCGCCCGGCGCGGGGCCGCGTAACCGCGCGTCGCAGGATATGACGCACATCTCAGTTGACACAAATGTTAAAATTAAATATTTCTTATGCACATTTTTACTGCATTGGAAAACATTAAGAATGTTGTCCTTCCTACAGAAACCACATTGAAACTATAAATAAAATATACCCTTCCCACTCCATTTTCAGACATTTTTGAAAAGGCTCCAGGAGCCACTCAAGGGGCACTAAAGAGCCGCATGCGGCTCCGGAGCCACGGGTTGCCGACCCCTGGTCTAGGGGCACAGACAAAATGGCCTTGTATGGGTATTTAGTACTAAAATAACAACATCTCTTGGTAAATGACTGATTTTCTCTGTCCGTAAAGTGCACAACCATGAGTAGAAAAGTAGTGTCTGAGATTGAACAAATATAGGAATCACATTAAATCGATGCTTTTGTTGATTTAAACAGAAGCATGTGGGACCAGCTCACTTTTTAAGGTTAAGGTAAAGGGAAATTTGTGTTCAATAAGGTACATCGAAATCTACATGGCAGCGTCTGGAAACCATCTTCAGATATTGATGCTTGGCTTGGTCCAGTCTACCAGAGCTGGACGATTGTTTCTTAAATGCAAAGATAACAAGCTCTGCACACCTGTAGGCGACAGGTGGGTATACAGTATAAGAGACGTAGAAACCTTGCTATATTGGAAAAACGCTCCCGCACACTGTCTCACTTGTCACATTTTGTTTTTGTCAAACCAACCTTCATAAGAATTGAAGACATCCCCTTCCTTGGTTTGCTCTCCTACACCTTTAGGGACTGCCCACAACAGAAAACATCCAATCAGGTCAATTCTACCTGTTGGACAATGCTATGATTCCTACCCACCATAATAATAATAATAATCAGTTTTATATAGTGCTTTTCAAAAGCTCAAAGACGCTTCAAAATTCAGGACACACACACACACACACACTTGACCTGATCCTTCACAAACACCATTGACCTAAAACCCCGCGCTGACCCCTCAATCCTTCCTCCGTGCAGTAACAGTAATACTATAATAATGGTCTTGCTCAAGGACACCACAGCAGTCCTCCGCTGCTATCCTGGGAGTGCGTGTTGAGGAAACCGCCCTTGGGTCAATAGAGTGGGGCCGCCTCAATGCCATGCACCTCATTACGTCTGGCAGGATCCGAGTCCTGCGGTATCACAGCTGTCGTTATACTTTAATCACAAGTACTGCGCTAACACACACTGGACTGGCTTCTACGCACAAATACACACAAGCGGGGATCATTTGCAAGCGCCTGAGTCTGAGCTACGGATCTGAATATGAACAGGATTTAGGGCCAAATACTAGAGGGATATTGATATTCCCTTCCAAGATTATTTCGTGGATTTCAATAATTTGTCGAACCATATGCAAGGCAGAAGAATGGTGATGGAAATACTGTATGAGCAAAGAGTTTACAATCTTTTTCTTCAAAATGTTTCACTTTTAGAACTTGTTTTTCCGCCAGGAGCTAAAGCCAATTGCTAGTTTGTGACGTCCTGTTAAAATAATTCTGATTCTTAAGAACTTCACCTATGATTTGAACACTGAGACCTTTCGTTTTAAACATAGCTCATAAAAACACACCACAAAATAATGCAATTAATCGAATAAAAACTACGCCAAACCCCAACAAATAATAGCAGCAGCACTAGCAACTCAAAGAGAAGGGAATTGTAGCTAAAACAGCGAAAACCAAGGTGCTACTTCTTTAGTGTCCCGAGTAATTGGAAACGGTATTTTTCCGAGAACCCGACTATAAGGAGTCAAAGCAGCGGCAGCCCCTTGCATCACGGCTCACAAGGACATTTGAAAGGGCTTCTTCAAAGAATCTCAGGAAACTCACAACTGCAATGACCTATGAAGTATTTGCTCAGCTGACGCAACCAGGATGTGCCATTCAGAACAATTCATTTTACTTATTGACGTAAGAGGCATACGGAAAAGAGACATAGAGAGAGACAAGACATAGACATAGACAAAAGAGACGATTTCACAATGTCCACTGAATTTCACTTTTTATACTTATTATCCTGCCAGAAATGTGTATCATTTACATTTACAGCTAGTTGAGAAGTTGTATTGTATATTTTGTGTGCTTCTTGTGTGCTCTTATCATTCTCAACCTTGAAATTTCTCCACTGTGGGAAGAATACAGCTCTTATCTTACAATACTTTTACCAGACTATTTTTGTTTTTGGGAGAAAAGTACCTATTTCCCCTAATGCCTAATGCTATGAATTATATTGAAAAAAATTGACTTGTTTTTTCCCTTTTAAAGCAAGCACTTGTCACAGTAGCGTCTGCCATGTACTTACGGTATATCTCCAGGACTACAGATGCTTCCACCGTATGTCCGCTGGCGTCCGTTGCCTGGCATCGATATATCCCTGCGTCCTCGATGATGGCGTTGTAAATGATGAGCCGCGATCTGGACGACTCTGTGTGCAGGGCCATCCTCCGCGACGCCACGATGCGATCGCCTTCAGGACTGAACCATTCTAGTCTCACCGGCTCGCCAATGGCTACAAAACAACAACAACAATATTGTGCACATATTAGTTACATGTTTAAGAATATTTTTCATGCTTGCAATAGGATTTTGTATGGGAAAGCTGGTCCATCTTTGCGTTTGACTTTGAATTCATTGTCCCAAAATTTGACATAGATTGGAATGGCTAATCTAACAGCCTGTCAATAGTCATAGTTTGTAGAAGAAAGCGACGAGTTTGGACCTCTTTTCTGGAAACCCCTAAATCAGGGGTGTCCAAACATTTTAGTCAGAGGGCCACAGTTCATGAGGCTAGTCCAGGGGCCGACGTCTTGACTGACATCAGGCTGTTCTGTGCTTTAAAATCATAATTAGTATTATATTACCAGAGCTGAAGTTGGCTGAATGACAAACATTTACCATCTCACTAGCCACATTAGCACCATTAACGGAAGTGAAATGAAACTTTAGAACGAGGTACATGTCTATATTGGCTGAGCTGAAGTTGGATGGATGACACAGTGAACTTGTGTTTATGATCTCAGAGACTAGTTTGGGTTAGCAAGGCAGAGAGCCACATGAAATGACACTGAGGACCACGATTGGCCCCCGGGCCTGAGTTTGGGCCTGACTGCCCTAAATAGCCCAAACTCTCCAGATTGAGATTATCGACTTTGAGCATTTTCCAGTTTCTGATTTTCACCTTGAAAGGTGTAATCAAACTTGAGACCGTTTCAGTCTAATATTTACAGTGAGTATACAACAGCACACTCCTCCTTGTTAAGTTGACATTCATTACGAGGCTAAACTGTTTCTTTTCCAATAAATGACCTTTTGGACCTGGGATCGATGATTTTCCTCCAAGCTTGACTTTTCAATTGCATCTTTGAACCTAACATACAACATTTCTGCCACATTCAATGGAGAAGGAAAAATAAATCTCCCTTGAGTGGCATAAGTCTGGCATCTCGCTTCCCAAAATAGAAAGATGCAAGCGTGAGGATAGTAAAGCAATCCAGCACGCCGCTCCGCCAAAACTGCCTTATTAAATGTATTGGATCCAAACACCTCGCCTATTAATCCATGTTTACGACTGTCCTGTTACGATTCTGTGTTTTACTGGTAGGGGCGATATTACTTTTGTTATGTGAGCAGTTTGAAGGCATTGAAGGTTGTTGTGGCTGGAACAGAAGGACTTTAATGACATGATGATGTTGTAATATTGGATTTACATAGTTAATAACAGGGCTAGGAACTCATGTCGGCTGTAAAACGTCGCGGTCGATTTTCGAGTTGGAGCTAATTGAGACAACATCAGAATTGATACTACACCACAGCAGAGATAATAAGTGTATTTTATCTGATTGAAACATAGAATCATGAAATAAATCCCATGTAACTAGTTCCCACATGTATGTATTTTCGGCCACGGTCTTTTTCAGACTATAAAGTGAAAAAGAGAGGACCACCCTACCTCAGCCAATCAGATCTCAGCCCAAAAAGTCCAATAAAAACTCACAGGGATCTAATGAGGTGCAGACAGCAAATGATTATTGGGGAAATGTTATTATCATTATTTTTGTAATTGAGTGGAAAATTTTGTGATTTACCATTTTACTTTTATAGAACTATGTTGGAACAAACAAACACATTATTTATGGATCTCCCAGAAGTCAAAATGATCGAGAGTTCTAGTAGTTTTGACATCTCCTATTCAAATTCATGGCATTCTGAAAAAAATCCCCAAAACAGTTTAAGTTCTTCACTACTTTTATCAATCAGTCAATTCATATGGGTTTTAAACGTTAATACATGCTAAAACTGGTGAATATAACTGAAAAACAACAAAGCCACACATTGTAAGTAAACGGCGTGTTGCTATGGTAACTTGTAACTTGATTGCTCTGAACCCTGGGCTCGACATAATAGCATAAACATAATTACATGTAAACAAACTACATATAGAAAAGTCGAAACACAGGCGGAGGAGTTACACTTCCAGTACAAAGAGCCGTGAAATTGACTGCTCCAGGAGTTCTAGTGTTAAACAGTTTCAAATAAAGCCCATCAGAACTCATATTAATAACGTTGATCGTAAACTTGGTGAAGCACAAACACATGAGCACAGTTACGATCACAAAAGCATGCTACTTTAGATTTTTTCATCAACAACAACAATATTCTAATCCCGTCCCCCTCCATGTTTCCTTCCAACCTCAGCAAAGAAAAGCCTGTTCTCTGTGAGGTTCTCTGAGTGGCACTGGCTTGTCTTTGAGCCGGTGCTAACGTGCAGCAGGTGTCTTGTGCCTGTAAATTCCCATAATAAAAGTGTCAGTGTGGAGGTCCATTAGAGGCTCTTTCAATCACACAGACCTTGAACCGCCCCCGCCTCCACCTCTCCAAAGGGCAAGTCCTTCAAGCCGATTACTCCTAGATAAAACTTCACTTGGTCTGGCTAAGAAAATGGCCCATAGATAAACTTCACAAAGAAAATGCCGTTAAATGACCATCAGCGGAAACGCCAGAGGAGCAAAGTGGCAAAGCGAAATCACGCGTTTATTACAGCTAACATATAAGGCTAGAATTCTCAGCTAACAGCTCTTAACAGTAGCACTGACCTGTCACCAGCCTCATCGTTCAGACCTGTTAATTACCAAAGAAACACGTTTGACAACACAAGAAAATACAAGCAATCCAGTAGCTAGCTAATTAGAGGGAATGAAGAGAGAATAATGTGTTTTTTTCCTATTTCACATTCGATCCACTGTTATGTTAATCTATCTATCTATCTATCGGGTAATCTTTTTTTTCCTCATGTTAAAATGACCGGTATGTACTCTTTTTCTTCTACAGATACAGTTATTGTGCATATGATTACGGATTATTTTCATCTCCTACTAACCACCATTCTCTGGTTTGAGCTACTTTTATATTTTTGGTGACGGTCTAATTTGTAAATTTCTTTAAATAAGAAAAGGGTAGGAGTTTATAAGATTTATTTTCTTCATCCTAATCTTGTTTTTCTGATCATGGAGAGTATTATTGTTATATTTGCAGGATAATTGGGGTATTTTGTTCCATTAACATGATTTTTTTTTAAACAAAAATATAAGGAAAAATAAAACATGGATACTGAGAGCTGAGATGGTAAGTTTTCAACTTTAAATTTTTGCCACAGCTTTACAATATCTTTCTCTATCTCACGTACTCTATCTGTCACGTCTAAAATCATAGCAATATCCTTTGAACGCTGGAATTGGGCTGAACAAGCTGGTAATGCAAAGAGGCCGATGGTCAAACAGCTCTGCGTCACTGAGGATGGGAGAAGACAGCTCGTTGCCCTATAGTCTACCTCCATCTCTGTGTCTTTACAAGTTTATGATTTACCAAATATCTGTCACCACTGTCATATGACCTGCCCAAGCTGCCATTAGCAATGATTCCCAAAGTTAAAACCAACTCAACGTCTTTCTCTTTGCCCGCCAGAACTCTCCGCGTCAAGGCGCTGGCAGCAAACACGGCAATAAAAGTTTTCATATGACAAGTTGACTATTCAAAAGTCACTGTAGCTCCACATCAAGAGCAAAATTACAACTTCTGAGAACAAGGCTGACTACAAACGTGGCTGACAACACGACAAGGGGAAAGAAATGAAGCCTGAGATCAATGTTTTTATCAACTGTTTGAAAGGATGACTGAAATGACTGTCGAGGAAGGCTGAGAATTGCAACTGTATTGTAACATTGGACCAACCAGATACACTGCCATGCTAATTTTAATAATGATAATGAAGATGGATGAAGACACTCGAAGATGCTTCCCATGTCATTATTCTTTCACTCCATAAACAGTAGTGATAAAGTACTATTTTAGCCACAGCTGCCCTGTGGCACACTGACAGAAGCGAGGCAACCAGTGTGTGCTATCAGCTCCTCCCACCACCAACCGTTCACACACACCGGACTCTATAGGCTACAGTATGTGAATAAAGTGACTTGCTTAAGGTCACAACCGCACTTTGGCACTTTTTTTTGCCTGCACCCGCCCCACTGAGGTGTTCACGGAGGTCTCCCATCACAGTACTAACCAGACCCTGCCCTGCCTCGCATCAGAGATCTGGCCTTGATCTGGATCTTCACCTGCAGGTAAGGCCCCAGGCTAAACTTAAACACCTGAAGAGAAAGAATATTTGTCCGGCACTAATTATGTTTCTAATGGCACTCATCTGTTTTTGCAAATTAAATATTTACTTGTCCATTGGAGGCTTTTAGGGTCAGGGTTAAAATATACAAAATAAACAATTAATCCACGAAACAATAGAATTTTTCCTATTTCAGCCACACTTTCAGGCGTCTGTTAGAGTCTGTTTATAGTTTTAGGTCAGCGGGAAGGCCTTTTTGATTCATATCAAGGGATATCTTTGACCACATTCACACAGAAGTGAAACAATATTGGCACACACATATTAAAGCTGCAATAACTGACTTTGAGAAATTTTCGAATGAGAGCGCCGAGCTCACTCTCTCTGCTCGCTCTACCCGCACAGAACTTTTGCCCCCCACTACCCCCCTCCCCCTCAGGCTGTGCTCACATGCTAATTGTATATACGGAGCTCAAGTCGCACAATAATGACATTCGAACGTGGATGGCGTGACCATAGAATGATTGAACCGGGAAGCGCGGAGGAACAAGACTTTCTTTTGGCTGGATGTTTCGCTGTGTAAGCAGAAACCTGTAACGAAGACGCGGGAAGTTTCAGGTTAGCCTCCGCTGCTTGTTTACCTCTGCTGTCTGTGCTAACGAGAGACCTGTGGCTTTTCTCAAGAAAGTGGGGGCCAGTGGTCCGCTGTGATTGGTCACAATCTGGTCCCGAAACACATTCTCTTCCTTGTTGCACCAAAACTCGCTCTAAAATAAAATGACACTCCAGCACAAATCTGCGCTACTTTTTCTTCAAAAGGACGTATATCCCAATGCACTTTATGGATATGGATTGAATTTTCGTAATGAATACAAAAATAAAGTCAGGTAATGCAGCTTTAAAGCAGTGTAACCTAACTTTCAATCCACAAAGATGTGTAATGAAAACCATCCAACTAGTTCTTTGCTCTCATGACAGTTGGTTCTATCACTAGTTTATGTCACATTTTTAGACATAAAAGTGAAAAAGAGGGGACCAACAAACATTTACCACTTTCTGCTGGGACAAACATGTATTATTTATGATAAAAACTAGTGAGGTACTCCTGCTTTCAAAGTATAATTTTGAAATAAACATACGATTCTGAAACTGCTCCATTTATTTACAATCCTGATTTAAGCAAACGTCTTCGACATTTGAAGACTGACCCGATCTTACTTCCCCTTTTTTAGTTTACGACCGTCAGTATCTCATTCAGAGATCATAAAATAACTATGCACTGGAGATTCAACTAAAGAAATACTATCTCATTATGATGAAATGTTCTCATGAATCAAACTGTGCAGAGGATTGGCTGCGATTCTACACTTCTAATAATTATTATATGTTACAGTAGCATCATTCTCACATTCATTCTGACCTTTGAATAGGCTACATTCATATTATTGCATTTGTAGCGGGTTGATAAGGCCGGCAGGAACTTGCAAATGATCTAAGGGCCAACGTTTTGTTCTCAAATTCTCTGAACACCGGTCCCAGAGCTCTAATGGATTCTGAAGGGCAGGCAGTCTACACCATGTATTTGCAGGTAGAGACCCATGTACTGTATGTAAGCGGGCATATTTAAGGCACCACAGCTTTGTTCTAAAAGAAAAGAGGCCGTGTCTGTGAATTGGTTTTATCTCGACTGATTCCTGTTCACTTTATGTCAAAAAAACTGCCTCTGTCTTTAAAATGTTCTAAATTATGCACTGTGGGCTATGGTGGACCAATTGCCCCTATTGGAGTAACAAGTATTTAAAGCTGGACTACCTTACTTTTTGTATTGTTTCATACCTGTTGCTTTTCCCGACAGAAACAGTCTTGCTGAAGTAAGTTTTGTGAACAAGTCAGGCTGCAACATGCTGTTTTGATCTTGTTAGAGAATGTGTTATCTTTTAGTGAGACTTGGGTACTCCAGCTTGAACAGACCAATCGGGTGCCTTCTTTTAACAAGGTGGAGTAAAAGGGGGTTTTGCACAACCACAATTTAAATATAGGATCTTTTGTAGTTGCGTGAGAGACAAAAAAATGACTGAATTGTAGAGGTTTAAAATTGTATCGTACACTTTGGAAATGTTTCCTTTACTAACAGTTTCCAACAACAACAATTAGCAAAAGAAACAATCTTGGCTACTCACTGCTGCTTTTTGCTTTCATTTTTGTTGCTGTCAGATATTATACTCTGCCTCTAGGGACAAGCAAAGTCACACATGCCCAGTCTCTGACCCCCACCGCTCTGGTTCTAGCCTCTGAAGAAAGGCTTATGGAGCAGGAAGAATGGTCAGCTCGTTTGGATCAGCAGCAGTCGATCTGGACGTGGGCCATTGTAATCTAAAGGGAGGGAAGTGCGCACACACACACACACACACACACACACACATGCGCACACCTTGTTCTGGTTCACTTAAAGGACCAGTGCTCCCTGTGCAGCGCTAACACCACACAGCCTGTCGTCACCGCTGAGAGACGATGCAAAATGGTCCAGGTCGTTTGCATTCAATCAAAGTACATGGCCCTTAGAGTTGCTCCAAAGGGAGTACGTGAGCCGCAACATTATAGCTGTTTGATGTATAAGCAGATATGATGGAATTGTGGGTTGGGTTATTATAAAAAGAATAACAAATACATGTTTTGGCCATTCAAACATCTTCTGCTGAAAACCCTTGTGTTTTTATGGTTCAGAAATCAGAAATCTCAGGAGTGATCTGACAATACTATAAAAAATAAATTATATAAACTGCTTTTAAGTTATCTGGCCAAAAGTGGTAGTGCAACCCCTCCCACTCTCCCTGACTCAGGTTGCCAGATATTCAGACAAATCCGAATACATGGTACTTTACCAGTGAGATTAGCCCGACCCTGGATCACGGACTTTCTGATTGGTGAAACGGGCAGTTAAAGAAATATTGGAATAGAGCATGTTTTACTAAAGCCTTTTGACAGATTAGGGCCATTTCCTGATTTTTTAAGGAAAACTGTGATTGTCTTTGAAATACTTTTAAACAATATCAGTCACAGCAATACAAATGGGTCCACTTAGCTTAGTAAGTGAAATGATTAGCCTCAAATGGATGAAATTACAGCATGCATGAATCTAGCTCATAAAAAGCCTTTAAATAAACAAGACATAATATTATGGTGCCACAGCTTTATGCAGCGTCACCACCAATATGCCTTTAGAAGATGAAATCCAAACGTGAGAGAGCGCCATACGACTAATGCCTTTATTTGTGAATAGACAGACAAACACGGCCTCCCTAGGCGCAGCATTAAAACAGTAAACTTCATCTGGGCTCGCCGGCGTGATGGACAATTCGAGCCAACACACATGTGCGCCAAATCTGTCTGCAGCCCAAAACCAACTGCTGCACATCTGCTGCTTCTGCTGCTGCGAGCGCTCACACCGGCCCAACACCGAGCATTCAGCAGACATCACACAAGACCACACACTTCTGCTATCCACAGTGGTTCCTGGTTTTGGTAAATAAAAAACAAACAAATCTGCAATGTTTTAGGCCTTTGTGAAGGAGTAGTTCCCACTCCTCACCCACAGGTGTATCCTTCCTGTTTTATTTTGAAATATTTAGCTTTGTTTATATTCCCTGTCCCTAACTTTCCCTTTTCCCCTCTTGGAAGGTGATTGGTGGAGGAGCTGGCTGGAGGCGCGCCCATCCCAGTGCATGCCAGGTGCACCCAACTGAGCAATCAGCTGGGCTCCACCATGATCCTCCAAGAGAGGGGTGTTTCATTGGGACTAAACATAATATATACATACCTCAAATACCATGCCTGTTAACAAACACCACCACTAAGTTCAAATTACTATAAATTATGCTTATAATATATCTGCATAAATTAAAGATGTAAATAGTTATACATATTTTGTAAATAGGGTAGGGCTACATTGTTGTGTCCCTGGGCGGGGGGTGGTTTTGGTTTGGGCCACTGTATAAAAAGAGGAGGATTCCATTTGAACGGTGTGTTCCTGTTGTGTGCATGGGGGGGATGCTGCCCAAATAAATAAGACATATTTTGTGCAAATCTGCAACATTTGGACCTCTGTTTGTTTCCTGTCCTGGTGAGAGGCTGTCCCAGTAGCTTAAACGCTACACGTGGTGTCAGAAGTGGGATCGTCGTGCCAATCTGCTGAGACTCACAGGACGAGGATGGGGCCGAAAAAGGTACCAAAACCCGCAGAACCGGAAATCACCCCAGATAGTGATTCCGAAGGGGGCGGAGCTGCTGGAGGAGAGCCCACCAAGGCAGAGACACTTATGGGTGCAGACTCCGAAACCCTAGTTTGCATGTTGCGAAAATGTCTTACGTTCCAGTCTGACCTGAGCAAGCGTTGGAATGAAGAAACGCAGAAGCAGGAGGAACGATGGCAGGAGATGGAGGTACAGGTTCACCGACTCAGAGAGGGCCTGACCGAAGTTGCGAGGCGTGGTCCTCAACACCCCCATGTACATCAACAGGAAGAAGTGGAGCCCCAATCTCCCACGCTACGGGAGCATTCGGGGAGAGGCTGGGCCCAGTCAGTGATTCCAAAGCTAGAGGACGGTGATGACATTGAGCAATATCTCACCACGTTTGAACGCCTAGCGACCGCATATCAATGGCCAGTGGTCGAGTGCGCAGTGAGGCTCGTCCCTTATCTGACGGGAAGGGCCCGGGCAGCCTATGTGGCCATGGATTGTGAGGAATCCTGCAACTACAAGAAGGTGAAGGAGGCAGTTTTGATAAAGTACGAGATAAATGAAGAGGTCTATTGCCAGCGCTTCCGTGAGCCAGACCTGCAGCCGGGGGAAACTCCAAGAGAGTTTTATAATCGCCTCAAAGACTTATATTTGAAGTGGATGCAGCTGGAGAAAAAGACGAAGGAGCGACTTGGTGAAGCCCTTGTTTTGGAACAGTTCTATCGTTCACTATCACCAGAGCTGAGGGTCTGGGTGAAGGAGCGCAATCCCACCTCTGGGCGTGAAGCCGCAGAGTTGGTGGAGAACTTTCTATCCGCCAGGCGTGGACCAAAGACCTTCAGGCTTGAACGGATGTCCAGGGGCAGCGCATCGGAGGGTAAGTCTGTGGGCTCTGGTGGGGGTGTTGGTCCGGTTCAGCGGGGAGGGTCCAGTAGACCTAAGGGTGAAAGAGGAAGACGAGGAGGGTGAGTTTACCCCAGCGAGGCCCACTTCAGCCAAAATTGACCTGTCCCATCTCTCTTCCTCACAGCAACAAGAACTGGCAGCCATTTTTCCCCCGGGTCTTTTTCAAGACAAGCCAGGGTCCACAAACTTGGTGCAACACCATATTCATCTGATCGACAAGACTCCGATACGGCAGCGGATGTATCGTATCCCGGAGAGGATGGTGCCCGTGCTCTTGGAGGAGATTGAGGTCATGCTTGAGCTGGGAGTAATAGAGCCTTCAACCAGTGAATGGAGTAACCCAGTGGTCCTGGTTATCAAGAAAGATGGAAGTATCCGGTTTTGCATTGACTTACGCAAGGTAAATGCACAATCAAAGTTTGATGCCTGTCCTCTGCCCAGGCTTGACGACCTCATAGAGCGGGTGGGTCAGGCCCAGTTTGTGAGTACGCTGGACTTGTGCAAGGGGTACTGGCAAGTCCCTCTCACGGATGCTGCCAAGCCCCTCACAGCCTTCAGGACCCCTCATGGACTGTGGCAATTTACAAAAATGCCCTTTGGACTCCACGGAGCTCCTGCCACATTTCAAAGGCTAATGAACAAAGTCTTGTCAGGAATGGAGTCCTTCTCGGCAGCTTACCTCGATGATGTTCTGATTTACAGTAACTCGTGGGAGGAACATCTCCAACATTTAGGGGCTGTCCTGCAACGAATCAATCAGGCGGGCTTGACGGCAAACCCACGAAAATGCTCCCTGGCCAGGCAAGAACTGCAGTACCTGGGCCATATCTTGGGAGGTGGAGTGATACGGCCTGTGAAGGACAAAGTGGAGGCGGTGAGGGTGGCTGCCAGACCAACCACCAGAAAGCAGGTCCGCTCATTCCTAGGCCTAGTGGGTTGGTATCGGCGTTTCATCTGGAATTTCTCAGCTCGGGCTGCCCCTCTCTCTGACCTCACCAGTGCTAGCCAGTCAAAATTTGCTTGGGGAGAGGAACAGGAAAGTGCTTTCCAAGACCTGAAAAATGCACTTTGTCATGAGCCTGTTCTCCAGAGCCCGAACTTCAGCCTGCCCTTCACCGTTCAGATGGATGCTTCACTCAGAGGGGTCGGTGGAGTCCTGCTGCAAGGGGAAGGAGTAGACAAGAGACCGGTGGCTTATGTGAGCAGAAAACTGTTCCCAAGGGAGATGCGCTATTCGACTGTGGAGCTGGAGTGTTTGGCCATTAAGTGGGTGATTGACTCCCTCAAGTACTACCTCCTGGGGCGGGAGTTCACCCTCGAAACAGACCATCGAGCCCTCCAATGGCTGGAGTCTATGAAGGACACCAACAGTCGGATCACAAGATGGTTCTTGTCTCTCCAGCCCTACCGATTCAACATTAGCTATTTGCCGGGAAAGCAAAACACCGTGGCAGACTTCCTGTCCCGCGGCCAGGAGGTCGTGTCTTCCGAAGGGGGAGGACATGTGAAGGAGTAGTTCCCACTCCTCACCCACAGGTGTATCCTTCCTGTTTTATTTTGAAATATTTAGCTTTGTTTATATTCCCTGTCCCTAACTTTCCCTTTTCCCCTCTTGGAAGGTGATTGGTGGAGGAGCTGGCTGGAGGCGCGCCCATCCCAGTGCATGCCAGGTGCACCCAACTGAGCAATCAGCTGGGCTCCACCATGATCCTCCAAGAGAGGGGTGTTTCATTGGGACTAAACATAATGTATACATACCTCAAATACCATGCCTGTTAACAAACACCACCACTAAGTTCAAATTACTATAAATTATGCTTATAATATATCTGCATAAATTAAAGATGTAAATAGTTATAAATATTTTGTAAATAGGGTAGGGCTACATTGTTGTGTCCCTGGGCGGGGGGTGGTTTTGGTTTGGGCCACTGTATAAAAAGAGGAGGATTCCATTTGAACGGTGTGTTCCTGTTGTGTGCATGGGGGGGATGCTGCCCAAATAAATAAGACATATTTTGTGCAAATCTGCAACATTTGGACCTCTGTTTGTTTCCTGTCCTGGTGAGAGGCTATCCCAGTAGCTTAAACGCTACAGCCTTACTTTTACACTAGGTCCCCATCACTTGTTGGAGAAATTCATTTTTACTCATCTTTGTCCATTTCCTCTCAAGTTGTTTTAACGTTTGACCAAATACAAGTTTTAGATTTCTCTGAACAAAATGGAGCAATGCTGGACCAAAAGTAAGAAATACTTGTTAATGTAAAAGGATAGATAAGTTTTGTTATTTCGTTATCGGATCATTGCTTATACTTGGATAAATGCTAAGATTGTTTTCTAACACAATGCAGAGAACACATTTATATTAGCCTGGTTGTACCACACCATAGTACAAATTACTTTTGGTACTAAGGTCTGGAGGTGCTCCATTGAGCTCCGTTAACAGGTGGGAGGGGTTAACTCCTTTTGCAGATTGAAACGATTGGATCTGAGTTTACCGTGACGTATGTAATGAGCCCGAGTGAGTCATTAGCATTTAGCCTAGCCATCTCCTTTGCCACTAACGGAGCCCGTGGGGAGTAGCACCACAATTTATTCTAGCGATTACATTTGCTAAACATTCCTTTTGCTCCGGCTTCAATTTCTTGATAGAACCAGACCGGAATACTTTTCTATCTCATTTTTCGCCATTGCCAAACTACAACCTTCCCGTTCGACGCAAACTCTTGACATCACCCACATCTAACTACACCTGCCATCCGCGCTCACTGGTAGGTTTGTCGAAATTCAAGCGATTGTAATCGCTAACCCAGGGACTAGACCCAGACGTTATATGCAGTGAAATGATGATTGAGCTGAGCGGCCAGGTGACATTTATATTACTTACTGCGCAGGTTGATAATAATACTGGCCCCAGTTGGGAAACACTGGTTCTGGTTTGAGGTACAGACAAAGTCAAATGATGCATGTATATCGAGAAAAGAAAGTATTATTGTGTAAAATTAAAGATGCATCGTTATGTCACTCTTTCATTTTCATATTTAATCAAGAAAGCAAAATCATGTGCAAAATGTCTTTTATCTAAAATGTTTTGTCACTTACCGTGTAATGACCTTGTCCGTGAAACTTTTTACAGATAAAAAATCTGGCAGAATGTTCTTTTCAAAGTAAAAAAAGAATGATTTTATTTTATCTCTCAAGTAAATTCTGTCGGGTTATGGGCTGGTGTACTCATGTACCTAGGGCCAGGCAGACATCTCCACTCTGGGACTGAACCATCATTTGATCTCTGACTGTTTAGAAAATCAAAAACATTGACAAAAAATGTATCCTATCAACATTAAATGAGTCAAACTGAAATAGTGCCATTGAACCGTGACTTCAGTGTATTGTTGTGTCCCGGAGCACAGGGACTGGCCTCCTGCAAGGACTCTGAGGAGCACAGGGACTGGCCTCCTGCTGGGACTCAAAGGAGCACAGGGACAGCCTCCTGCTGGTCCCAGGGTCACCTAACATGAGGAGGCTGCCTTTTAGATTCATGCAGCTAAAATCTGAAACAATCTTCCTGAAAGTGTGAGACAGGTTAAAAACAGTTCTGTTTGGCTGCGCTGAGGGATTTTATATGTTTATCTTTCTCCTACTGTTATTATTTATGATTTAAAGCTATCTTGTTTTGCTCAGCATGATTTCCTTCACAAGCAGCCAATTATCACGAAGTCTTTTACAACATATTATCTGCTCTTCTTGTGTTTAGAACGGGATTTAGAATTACAAGGATCGCAGCAAATGAGAGTAATGGTGCTTTCAGACCGGATCATGCGTTTCAATGCAAAGTCTATGGTGACGCGCGTTCAACCGTCACAACGCACGGACCTCTCGGCACGCACGAACGGACTGTTCAGGAGACACGCACGGAGCAGGATAGCATAGATAGCACTTTAGCAGCACTTGTTTACAGTCACAGTAGAATGTCAACTATTTTTTTAAATACTTTATTGTGTCATCTTCATTAGTTCACTTTTTTTTATAATACATACAGCATAACAAGACACATGTTACTTTAATGTTTTCCTTTTTTTAAACTATGCTCCCTTTGTGTCAAAAAGGGTTAAAAAAAAAACAATAAAAACAATAAACATATATGAATGTAAATGTAAATAGATGAGTATTCCTATGGCTATATGAGTTCATACTGATAAATAGAATGTCAACTCAAGGTGAAGACATACAGTATTTTCACAAGCGCCGTGTCCCTCATCCTCAGTCCTGGTTTAGCTTCTGGTTTAATCCTGGTTTAGCTCCTCTTCTGGTTGTTTTCGAGTGACTTCCTTTTCCTGGCTTGGACCGGCACATGTCCCCGTGACCACTTTGCTGCTCTCTGATTGGTTGGCGTACGTGTGTGGAGGATGTTCATCTGCTGTTTTCACTGCATGCGTAACGCCGCTGTACCCACCACCTCTGCCTCACCACCTCTGCCTCACCGACCCTGCCTCACCGACCCTGCCTCACCAACCCTCCCTCACCACCTCTGCCTCACCGACCCTCCCTCACCGACCCTCCCTCACCGACCCTCCCTCACCGACCCTGCCTCACCACCTCTGCCTCACCACCTCTGCCTCACCACCTCTGCCTCACCATCTCTGCCTCACCATCTCTGCCTCACCATCTCTGCCTCACCGACCCCGCCACACCGCAACAAGCCGTCTGCTGCGGGATACACGTGCCGAGTCGTCCATGCAATTCCTCGCATGGACCGACGTCACCATAGACTTTCCATTGAAACTCGCCGCAGCATGATCCGGTCTGAACGCAGCTTGAGAGAGGTTGCGGTATCACTTTTGGCTAGGTTTTTACACACTGCTCCTTTTAGCACACATTCATTAAGAATGTGCTTTTGATTGATTTCCAACAAATGTAATTGAAAACAGCTTCAAATATATTTACAGGTGTCAATTTTGTCTCTTTGAACGATACAGAAATTGCCGATCGAATCATAATCACATAATAAATCCTTTCAAACTCGTGCAGCCATTGTTACTGCACTCTCCCTCTTTTCACAACTGTTTGTTTAAGCACACGTCTCCAGATAAAGATGTTTGCGGTTGGGACAAAATGAGGCATTCCATCATTTCCACTCGCCGCCGATTGTTCTGTGCAAACTTCTGCTTCACATTGAACAAGAGGATCGATTGCTCTTCTTTTTTCTTTCCACTCACACGGCTCAGAACGGCGAATAACGACCGTCCGCCCGCACCCCAGGCCAATCCATATTTATGTCTGAATCACACAAAGACCAGAAGTTTTGCATTAAAATATATATGTTGTTGTATTGTCTCTGCTTCTTGGCGGCAAGGCCCACTCCAGCTGCATAAGTCTCCACTGAGGGGTAGATGAAGCGGGCGGGACCAAAGTACGGTGGCCTAGAAAGCTCATTACGCTCTCTGCAAATTGCACATCAGAGCGTTTTATTTCTGCTGTTCTTCTTTGCTTTCCATCACCGCTGAACATAAAGCAGAATAAAATAAAACATTCTGGAGGTTATGATGAAATTAGAAAATGTTTTTTTACAACGGTATTACATTTTTATCTCCTCAGTTTTCTTCTTGCATAAATGAGTGCTTTTCTACTGTTGGTTCTACGCAGTGCAGAGCTACAGGGTGTCCCGGTGGCTGAGTGGTTAGCTATCTCGCTTCTCAGCACGAAGGTCCTGGATTTAAATCCCGGAGGGAACACAGGCTTTCTGAGTGGAGTTTTCATGTTCTCCCTGTGTCTGTGTAGGTTTGAAACTGACATGCATCTTTATCATGTACAGTAGATCAGGGGTGTTCAAACATTTTAGTGAGAGGGCCACACCATACTAATCCAGGGGCCGACATCACAGACTGAAAAACAGGCATCGGGCTGTCCTGAGCTTTGAAATGATCCATAACAGAGCTGAAGTTGGCTGAATGAGACATGTTTACCACCTCTCCAGCTACATTAGCATCAATAACAGAAGTTTGTGACACAGTGAAAAACCAGTCAGTACAATATGTGCAGATAAAGTCAACGACTGAATTCCTGACTTATGGGCTTTGTCTATATTGGCTGAGCTGAAGTTGGATGGATGACAAAGTGAACTTGTGTTCATGATCTCAAAGACTAATTTGGGTTAGCAAGGCAGAGGGCCGCATGAAATGACACTGACATGCTTGAATTAGATTAAACTGAAATATAGGCAGTATTTCTTTGTAAACACACTCTCATAAGGTATCTGAGGTGTTTCTGTTGTGGAATTGGCTTTAAGATTTACAAATACATTCATATAATACACATGATTTTTTTGCTTGAGATGTATGTGTTGTTTATCAGAACTTTCAGATAAAGGCATATGGTGTTGTTGTTCCAGGCTCTTGAATATCTTGGCCCTTGCTAAAACAATCTCCCTCCCCCATACGTTTGACCCCTCCTCGCTCCCCCTGGTGGTGGAGTCATGCTGCGCGGGCTGGCAACACAGTAGAGAGAAGCCAGCGGGGGGCCCCTACCTGTCAGACCCCCCCCCCTCACCCCCCGCTGTGACCGGGGCTTGGCTACTGTGCCTGGCTCGCTGCTATCTTCCGCACAGGAGCAGAAATATGTGTGTCCTCGGTGTGGAGCTGTCTTTACAAAGGACAGAAGGTCACGGGACATACGGTTAGCCTCACTTTTACACCGAAAAATGTAAGTGCTGAGCAGGAGGAAGTCAAAGAAAGATGCTAATGTAGATTGGACAGTAAATCAAGAGCTTTGGCTTTCGACAATCCGATACACCGACTTCATTACGGCAAAGGCTCCATCCTTCTCTCCCTCATGAACCATACCCCAAGGACCTCTCCATCCACCTGGAGAGGGTGGAGGGTCAAGATTTGTCCTTATTTAAAGGAGCAGTGTGTAAAAATCCGGCCAAAAGTGGTACTGCAACCTTTTCCACTCTCCCTGACTCAGGTTGCCAGATATGCAGACAAATCCAGTTTCATGTCAAGTGCCAGTCCACTTGACATGAAAATCTTACATACTGCTAATTCATCATTCCTCTCAATGTGATTGGTGTGGTTTTGTGTTTTGTTTCAGGCATGGCTCCGGTTGGGTGTGGTCTCCAAGCTGGTCTCCACTCATAGTCAGATTGTTCCATCTTCCAACTTGCCTGTGAGGTTTTTACTGTGTGACTTATATTCCTGTTTTTGACTTTTAAGTCCCAAGTTTCACTGCCTGCTCGGAGCCCCCCACTGGACTGAGCCTTGCCCTGTTTCTCTTCAGCCAAGTCTGCTGCACTTTGTGTTAATAACTACTTTGACTGCCCTTTTTGGTGTCTGCCTTGAGGTCCTCTCATCTCCCGTAACAATAACAATAAAAAGTATGGTCTATGTTAAATACCAAAGCATATTATAGTTGTCAACAATGTCAATAAACAAAATCATTGAAATAAGCCATACACATGGACAAATACACATGACAGAGGAGGGGCAAGAGACCAAGTACTGTATGTTAATATCTAAAAATGTCACACACAGAGGAAAGCAACACAACCTTCAGTTGTCCTGAAAAGGGCTAAGAAAGTGTTGCACCTGACTGTCTGCCTGGTCAACAATAATAATCATTATGGATCCCTTTCAGCAAGACAATTATCTATAACAGTGTCTCCCAAAGTGGGGTCCGCGGCCCCCTGGTGGGCCGCGAGGGTACTGCAGGGGGGCCGCGGGAGGTCATAAAAAAAAAAATATATATATAATTATTTAATGTTAAATTTATAATGTTTTGTTTGTAATATTAAAATATTTGTTCATTATTTGACTTGAATAAGCCACTGTAATCATTTTTGTATTACAATGTTTGTAGCAGAGGCTATTTCCCCAAAATAAAATAACCAGAAGAGCCTATTCTTAATGTTGTCTTCTTGGTTATTATTATGGGGGGCCACGCAGACCCGTCAGATTTTTAAGGGGGCCTCGGTGTTACTGAGTTTGGGAATGGCTGATCTATAAGACTATAAACTGTGGTTTGACAAATATATCATCTAAAACTAATTTGGAATGAAAAACAAAATTACACCACATTTCCACATGGACGCAGGGACACTAGAATGGCCCACATATCGTGGAAGCACAACTAGCAATGACCACTACAAATGTCCACTGCACAAACCCGCACATTTTCACTACAACTTTAAAGCAGATACATGGATGTACTTTGAGATGTGCAAAATATAATTGATGGTATTTACGTAGCTTTGAAGCAATCCAATATTTGATCCTTGACTGCATAATTTATAGTCAACAAGTGCATTATTTTTAGTCATTAAGAATAGAAATGAATGCAAAACACTGGAGGGATTATCTTTGATTCAAGAATATAACGCTTATATTCATTAATATGATAAACTTCACCTTAATCTTGAAGGAATCTCAAACCTCTTGAACACTTGAAGGCCCAGAACAGTATGTTTTGAAAGTGTAATTACTCGTTACGTATGTACATTTTTAGCCTTCATTACTTTGTGACCTTTTCTGTATCTATTATTATGTGGTTCTACCACTAACTCAGAGAAGAGCCGGTACTAGTTACCATAGCAACACAACATGTCAGTAGTTAGCATTTAGCCTGTGTTGTATTTCAAGTTCTTTTAACTAGTTTTAGAGCATATTCAAAAGTGAGTAAAGGGAATACCTTGTGTAGGAGGAATAAAATGACCTCTCTGTATGCTGCCCTTCCTCCACTCTGATAAAGACCTCTGCCCCCTGCATTCCGGGGTGAGGCGACCAAAATGTTTAACAAAACTCTCTGCTAGATTTTGAGACACTCTCTTCCGAAGAAGTTTGCTTAAGGAGAACCTCATCTCTCTGCTCTCTCGGCCCTCCAGAGGAAAATGGAGGGCCGAGAGGCCTGACCGTCTATAATCAAATGCAAGATCCAGTCGTGAACAAGGACTGTTCTCCATCCATTGCCATCACAACCCAAGGACTGCCATCGATCAACGCCACATTCTGGTTGTATGCTCTGCTCCATACAGTTGTTGGCTTTCTAAAACCTACACTTTAAACTAAGCACACTTAGTCCCTCACAAAGGCTGCAAACACATGGTAGCCTTTAGCCTTGCCACACCTTAGCCATAGCATTTTAACCATGTATCTTGCAATCAACGTTTCCTTCATGTTATTCTTGACAATTTGCATATTTCATATCTACTCTGTATTGTGTATACTGCATTAACTCTATAAAACCACCTTTGTGGTCACTGATTTGTAAAAGAATTCATTACCTTCAGATTCTATTGAAGAGAACTGGACTAACTAGCTAATTAAATAATTAAAGGACTCATATGATTACAGAATCAATAAATGAGCCAATTAATAGATAATGTGACGTCATACGCACGTTATCAGTTGTGATTTTTTCACTGGTGCCCCTAAATAAAGCTATTATCAATTATTGTATTTAATACACGATTGTTTTTGATCCAATTCTCCAATATCAATTAAATAACTTAAGTTATGTGTAATATCGACATCAATAACCCCTACACTTGTAAAGTACTTACTTTTAATGAATCTGGTGAAAAACAAAACATTAAAGGTAGCTCCATTAGCATCCTGCTAGCTTTTAACTCCACATGTCGTAGTACATGTTTTTTTGTTGTCTGTCTGCTTCATTCTGCTGTATTTCTTTTGGATCTGACTGTTTTATTGATTGGTTTTAACAGTTTTATTCTGACTGTGCAGCGCTGAGTAAAATCTCTTTTTATAATTTCAAAAATATGTATTATTATTATTATTTTGGAGAGAATTTATCAGGAATCCACTGGTTTGAAAGGGAGCAGGCTCTGGGAGTTCTAGTAAATTCAGAATTCAGGGAGTCTAAGTGTTAATATCGTTATCAGAGCACTCAATATCACCTCTTAGGGTTTTACCAATTTTGCACATTACGGCGGTGTATTTCAGGCAGCCCCAATCTCGACCTTATTGACAAACAATACAGAGTAATGACGTTTACCTGTGCAGATGAAGAACTTGGACTCTCCCACGCTCAGCTCCACTTTGTTTAAGGATATGGACACCTGCAGGGTGGCTGTGGAGAGGAGAACACAGAGCTGGTTAGCACAGTCACGCCACAATAGTCCCTCAGTGTGTTTGCGCAGTGGTAATCGCGACATCTTCAGCGACGGGACTCGATCCTTCCTTCTAGTTTGATCCCATTGTGAGCTCCGTTTACCTTGCGCCGTCAAATGCGATGCTGACATGCAAATATGATTCCATACAATAGAGAGGTTCGCGTCTGGAAACTGAAAGAACAATTTATGGATGTTCTTTTTTTTTCTGAATACAGAGGAGCGGGAAGATTGTGATGGTGATAGCTTTTTCCCATTAGCGACTTGGCGTGTTTGCGACTCCCCCGTCAGTCAATCACTTTTCACAATGCCTGGTTTTCTTTCTGCCCGTAGAGGTGTTCGAGAAAAGGATGTGAGACAGAAGATGCAAATAACAACAGCAATCTTATGGACTCCAACGTTGTAATTCAATTCTACTTTTCCGGGAAATGTAAATATCTCTTTGACACTCTAGTTTGCAAGTCGTATGAAGTCTAGTTGGCAAGTATTAGGAATCTGTCCATTAACGCAAGGGAAATATATGTATTCAAAAGCGCGCAACAGCTCACAGTGACAATACATGTTTTTGTATAAATAGTGTGAAAATCGTCTGAGATTGTGCATGCTACTTTAATCTTTTATCGAGCCTATAACTATAATGTGTTTTTCATCAACTAACTGTCTATGTGGCAGTGTGGGTACTGCATTTCCTCCATCTTTTTATTTTAACAATAGACATTCAAATACAGTAGCAAATGGGACGTTACAGAAGTAGGTCTGCGATATTTGACTACTGACCATTGATAACAACATAGCCGCTGGCAAAACAAGCATCCATTCTCACTATATCATGCTCTATACTTGCTATGTGAGTGGGTAGCCTAGCCTCACACTCAAAGCCCATTCCACTGTCCAGTTAATATGCACAAGCTTACTGCATCTTAGACGCTCATTCAGAAGATGGCCGTAAAGATGGCGCCGTGGCAAGAGCTCTGGTGTGTGTCGTCTGGTGCACACTGGGGTAGTCTTGCACAGTTTTTCCAATGTGGTTTTACTGCAAATGGCAAATAAATGAATCTGAATCTGAAGATGAGGTTCTAACGCTGCTCGGAGTCTGTCAAATAGACGGGAAGATTGAACAATTATACCCGCCAATTATATATTTATTAATATATTGTATTATATTTAAGACAAATGCGCAACCTAAAGTGCTCTACAGGTGGCTATATAAAGTAGTTAGGTGACTTGTGGTTCGAGCTGCAACCACAAAAAGCATGTTGACTCAAGACAAAATGAACCTTTTTGAATCATATTTTGCAAATAATTCAACATTTGTTTTACTTTACTTGGGAGAAAACCAGTGGAAACTTCTTTAAAAAACCTAAAACGGGATTCTGTTCTCGATAATATGATAATCTATGACCCTCATGGCCCCGCCTCTGCTCCTCCACAGACAAAGTTGCGATGTGATTTTATTTTTTATTTTTTATATACAGTCAAACACATTCATGTTTTCATACATGTGTCAACATTTAAAAAAATAGTGAAATTCTATATTTAATCATGAAATTGTATAGTTTTATATCAAAGTGTTTTCATATGATGTGTTTTCCTGGGGTCAATGAGTTTACAGCAAAACAATGGACAATAGATAGCCTTGGAAATGTTCTTTTCAGAAAGGGAGTCTTCCTTATCTCACCGGACAGGAGATGAGATCGGACTAGACCAGACCCACCACAGACTCTGTCGGTCTTACCATATATGGACCAAAAGATGACGTCTCCAGATACGCCACGCCACCCCCCACCCCTTGCACATTTGCAATATGTGATTAATCTATGCTGTGTTAGTCAGTCGGAGCAGGGAAAGCCGGGGCCAGGAGCTCAAAAGAGTCTTAAATTAGTATTTGATTGTAAAGAGAATTAGATACTGTTGAATATTCTTGGTCTTCTTTTCTGGTCAAATTCTGAATCATGTCCTTTTTTGACAATAGATTTAATATTTTTCTCTTCTTGCAAAAATGACAGCGCAGGGTGGGTGAATCCTCCACGTTTCACGGCTTTAGAAAATAAAATCACCAAAGGAGGTGAGTAAAACCTGGTGTTTAGGTGTTGAGGTGCTATAGGTGTTGGTAACAGCTTTGCATGTGTTTCTGACACACAACTGTAACATGGCCTCTAGTACATGCTATTTATATTGTATGTTTGCGACTCCCTTAGTCAATCTCTTTTCACAATGCCTGGATTTTTGTTTCTGCCCATCGAGGTGTTAGAAAAAAGGATGTGAGAGAGCAAATGCGAACAACAACAGACAATCTTGTAGACATTTTTCCCGCAAATGTAAATCTCTCTTTGACACCCCAGTTTGCAAGTCATATGAAATCTTGCCAAGAAATATGAAATGCTCCATCCACACAAGGGAAGTAGATGCATTCAAAAGGCACGCAATATCTCAACAATGTGTACAGACAACAGCAAACATGAAACTTGAACTTGAAACCAAATACTGCCAAAAGACCATGTTTAGGTTACATCCCCTTTGATACGAACAATGCATGCAATCAAAGAAAACATGCAAAACTCTCAAGAATCTAATTATTTGCTTTTAACAAAAAGGCTCCACACACATTTCTTCATTCGGGCGATATTGTTAGGCACGTCCTTCACCACAAACAAACAGCAATCAAAGACCCTCAGAAGTTCAGAGTGAATGAGAGAACACAGCTCCTGGCAGAGTTCCACAAACACACAAACGAAGCAGAGGCTGATTAATCATGCGTATTTAACCCCGCCACCTTTTAACCCAGGCACCTCCAACTCCAGACTAAGCCCTTCAATTATTAATCAATCCACCAGGCTTTTATTTTTTACTGGATGCCATTGACCGCAAGGACAGGCCCGGGAGAGGAATAAGTCATAGGCGATAATTGAACACTGTGTAAACCGGTTTTCGAAGATTTTTAACTTCAAATTAAAACTTTTTTCCTAACTTTCTCATGCAACCGTTAACATTATTCACAGTGACAAGTTTACATGTGCTTTTTCCAGTCAATTTAACGGCTTTAGTTTTGGAGGTTTCAGTTTAGTTTATTGTATGTACTCGTTATGTATGTACATTTCTAGTCTTCATAACGTTGTGGCTTTTTCTGTATCTACTGTATTTGTAGTTTATTAGTATGTATGTTATTATTATTGCTATTTTATTTTTTTTATTTATTATTATTATTATTATTGTATGTGCAGTAGTCTTAATCTTAATCTGAATCTTGAAGGTTGTGAGTTCGAGCCCACCACAAGACCTACTTCATGATTCCCACTGATGTCTGTTGTTGTTGTGTCCTTGGGCAAGACACTTAACCCCTAACACTTGCCTGAAGCCCCCACTGAAAGAACAAGGCTCCTGTGGACTCAGCACCTGCAGGAGGATCAGTGAGGGACTGGGTGCAGCTCTGTCACTCCCCCGACCCAGAAATGGATTAAGGGGAAGAAAATGGATGGATGGAAGTTATTTTCACCAGTTTTACAACTAATTCAAAAGTGAGTAAAGGGGAATATCTTAGTTTGAATAAATTTGGTGAAAAACGAAACATTAAAGGTGGCTCCATTAGTATCTGGCTAGTTTTAAACTTCACATGTCGAAGTACATGTGAAGTACTACGACTTTGACAGTTTTTTGGTGTCTGTCTGATCTATTCTGCTGTATTTCTTTTGGATACCTTTTCTTACCTACCCAATTATTCCCTTTGATGAGTTTACATGTGCTTTTCCCACAATGTTTCAGAGCCAAGAGTTTAATTCAGCTCAACGTATTTTTGTGTAGCCCTAAATCACACAGTAGTCGTCTCGGCGGATTTTAAAAAGTTCTCCATTCGCCAAAACCGATAAATATGCCTCCATGGATATTGGATGACCAATGTCCATAATGTTTCATAGATGTTCTTTAATGATCTGGATCATCGTCAATGTCCTTAAACCTCCTAAAAAAAAAAACACAAAAACCCAGAGGTAAAAAAGTGAGAAACCTTAGGTAGGCCAAAATTGAGAGATAGAGAGATAAACGCTCCCAGAGATTGACCAGATCCAGTAAACTAATAGCAAATGCAGAAAATCTCTCTATTTTTCAATTACTGCTTTTGAACTGGAGCCAAAAATAAATAAAAAAAATTAAAGCTGAACAATACTTGGATTTGATTAGTGCATTCTGCTATTTTGAGTGCCCCAAGTGAGCCAACATATTAATTCAGTCATGTGTGTGTGTGTCATTTGATTTGATATTTGGTTGATGTTGTAATTGCTTGTGGAAAGGCGCAGACGCCCTGTCACAGCCGCTGGCAGAAGTGCTAATCATAGGAGTTTTTTGGAGGGAAGCAAATGTTTGAGCTGCATTCACCTGCTTATTACACACACCGGGTCAATGTGTGCGAGCCTGATAGCAATTATCTGCTCCAATTATGACGAGCGGAGGAGACAGACAAGCAAGACAACAAACACCATGGCGTTGATCGGCCTTCACACCGTGTGCAAAGACCGCATTGCAACAAAATAGGAAAATAATGCGGGATTGAGATGGCAACAATTCAATATTATACAGAAAGTCATAGGCGGCTACAGTGGCCTGCAAAAGGCAAAAGTTTGAACAACGACTAGATTGATTGACTGATTAAAATGTTGCACATGCCTAAAATGGTTTAACGAGGAAATATGTAGGATTTTCATGTCAAGTCATCATTAAAGGGCCCTAATCTGTCAAAGAGCATTAATAAAAAATGTTCCATTCCAATGCTTCTTTAACTGATAACAGTAGTTCAGAGATATTTGGATTTTGTTGTTGTTTTTGTTTTTGTTTTCATGTTGATGTCCCGCCCTCCACTGTTTCATCAATCAGAAAATCTGTGATCCGGGCACCAGAACTCACTGCGTCAAGCTAATCTCACTGATAAAGTACCATGTGGCCGCAGAACTAAAAAAGGTCTTGTTAATGATTCTCAAATCATTAAGTACATAACAAGGATTTCTATCTTTGTTAAAAAAGTGTTGGTTATAGATAACTCTAGCTTATAGTTAACCCTAACCCAAACCTCTAATCAGATATTATGGTCCCAGCTGGATTCGTCTACATATCTGGCAACCTGAATCAGGGAGGAGTTGCAGTGC